GTGATCGATCGGTGGTAAGAATATGCGGCGGTGGGATTATTCCGTGTTAACAAGGCCGATACATACAATAGGGCTATATCGGGCACACAGGGCTGACTGGCGTTCGAGGGGGCCGGGGACGAAAATCTAACATCCCCTTGATAGATCGACATCATATCCTCAATCTCTTTACAAACCTGTTCCTCCCTCCTACATGCTTGGACCGCACTCGCGAGGAATTCTACTATTAATCTGTGAAAAAGAGAGGGGGGGGGGGGTTCCTATCCTACAACCACCAACATTAAATAACCTCGCAAAGGCTACTGAAATGCTTCTATATCACCACCATGCACACACCTGCACGTCCTTAACGTTTGCCTCGAGAGACCCGCGGCTTTCCACCGGCCGGCTCTGGTGCAGCGCCCACGCACCGACCTGACTCCCACGGGGGCGACTCTTGAAGTACTCCGTGCTCTCCTTCTCCGTCACCTGCAAAGCCAAAACACCGTTCATTCCATAAGTTTCATTCATTGGGGTGGCCGTCAGGGACGTTCTCCTTTTCATGCATTTTACTCGTTAGACCGTTGACCTCGCACCCCTACAAAGCCAGGACGGAGCACGCCGGGTCCTCACCGGACCAGGCTCTCACATCACCAAGCGCGAAGCGCCGTGGAGTATTCGGCGAGTCGCATGAAGGGTGCGCTTCATCCTGCTAAGGGTGTTCGGCATCTTGTGCTTACTTCCTTGCGTACGGATGACAACTGCGTATGACTTAATTTATTTTCTGGTGCTTTCACTTCCATAGACAGTTGTAAGCACTGCCTCGAGGGTGCTTGACCAATTTCACACAACGTGGTGCGATTATCCCCCTTGCGCGGAGTGAGGGTTCTCGACCCCGCACAATACAATCTGCTCGACCACCATTCATGGCTACCGCAAAATGTGTGTGTGTGTGTGTGGGGAGCTATATACGAAATATCGCGTTGGGAGGAAAGACTGCGCGCCAGCATATCGAGGATCCACCAGCGATACAACCAGAGTTTTTTTTTTTTTTGTCTTCGCTTCAAATCAGCGCTCACAGCACTAGTGTCGTTTACTCCAACCCGTGGTCACACAGAAGAGCCCCTCTCTACCCTCCCCTCCTGCGGTACTTTGCCTCCGATTTTTAATGCGAGAAGAGTTCAGCACTCTGTTTCCTCTGTGTACACACGAACTAGCGCTGTCCACTAGGCCAGGAGCGGAAGCGAGAGAAAAACTCACTTTGCAAGAAAAACTCACTTACGCCGGGATTCGAACCCTTGACCTGACCTCTAGAAGGTTTCGAGGTTACCAACTAGACCACCGGGGCGACCGGCAGAGATATAGGACGATGCGTATGTACGCCTACGCCATAGCTGGCGAGCGCGAAGCACGCTCCAGTAGCTCGGTACAGCGACCTAGCCTACCCACTGCACAACATCCTAGCTTGGGTTTTGGGTGCGAGTTTAGGGTGTAGCGGTGGGTAAGGCCTAGTGAGGCTCTGCTATAATAGTGGTTTTGCTTTCGTGTCTACGTACCTCCAACCACAACCCAAAAAACTGTTCAACTGGCAAGTGCAAGAAATCCGCCAGCTTTGGCGTATGTATACGCGCGTCCGAGATACAGACACGTTGACAGAACACTCCAAATTAGCATCTGTCCCTGGAAAAGGGCATGGACGACGACTCAAGGGGAAAGTACTTCATTTGATAGAGAGTTTTGGCCAGATGGAAGTTGCGAACCACGAAAATACAAAGAAAATAAAAAATCATGCTATGCATACACACCGAAGCACGGCGAAAAAACACTCGTGTTGGGATGAAACCTTTGTGATAGGTGTATCCCTGGCAGTGGCCACTGTGTAGCAACAGTGTGCAGAGGCTCACAGAGTGACTGTAAGGTACACTTGTGTTGTAGACCAGATGATATGGTTGTATTGGCGCTTCGTTGGCCGAAAGGTGAGAAGAGAGAAAGGAGAAGAAGAAAGAAGTGGGCGAGTGGGGGCGAGCACCACGGGGGCGAGCCATCCACCGTCATCACGGAAAGGAAACACACACGGGCTATTGCAACGTACCGATCACGGTAATAGACGGTCACTGCGACCTATGGCAACGTTTCTAGAATATCCTATAGGACAATGGTCCGATGTACCATAATTCTATGGTTCAATGTATAACCCGTAGGTGTGTACAATGATCCGATAACTGAATCAACATACCGAAGACTATTCCGGTAATGCTCCTTAGGTGAATACCTACTTACTGTTGTTTACAGCAGTGCAAACTCTAATGACTGACATAGAGTATTCCAACACTCCCCCGCAATGGAAGTCATACAAGAAACGACATACCAATTGAATTCGAAGAAATGTTCTCAACGAAAAATAGATTAACTTTGAATGATACAGCGTTTACTGCTGTGTATGCTACAAGGTTTTTACTGCGTTTACCAAGAGAAACTCCAATAGTTAACAAAAGAATTTCCAAGATAGATATACCTTCAAGATATACCTTCAAGATGTGCAATACTTAATTGCATCTTGGTGCACGTTTGCGATGGCTAGACTGCTGTAGAAGCAGTGTTTATTTGAACCAGAAAACAGAAGTCAGACACCATGACAGAATCACGAAGGATCATACATGTGGCAATATAGACTAGTCTAGAACGTAATCGACACAAAGAATTAGCACTTAAAGCGCACACTCTTCATCTTTTCGGTACATGTACCATTCAACAACGTACAGCATGCATGCCCTGAAGGTTTGGTGCTACAGATGCATCCGGAGTATGCCAGACACCTGGTAGACGTTGTTGCTGAGTGGTGGTTTCTTTTCTTTCTCGAGTAATGCACTTGTATGTGAAACTGTCTGTCTTTCATCACTACAAGAGATCTACGAAGCACATTGAGTACCTTCAATCTTCCGTACATGTGCTCACTCTCTGTATCGTGTTCCGTACAGAGGATGCATCTAGCACCAAACCTCCAGGGCATGCATGCTGTACGTTGTTGAATGGCACAGCACTTGTCCCATGTCAATCTATATGCATCTGACTCATGTGTACCCAGAGAGGGTGGGTGCGGGTTTCGTTATCTTTCTTGGCGAAAAAAATTGTGCGCTTGTTGAAAAAAAAAAAAGATGCGTTCGCTGAAACTAAAATATCGAACAATCGAACGTCACCTTGGTCATCACCCCCTCGATGCGTACAGCGCGCTGAACCTCGCTCCACCAGAACGACAACGCACCGTAAGGGTTGTGCGACATCTCTTGAGACTTGCGGCTCTCGAAGTTGGTGTACCAAACGAACCCTCTCTTGTCGAAACCCTGACAAAAACAACGCGCGGCAAACATCAGCACAACAGAGGGAAAGCATCGTAAAGTCAAGGCAGCAGTTCAGAGGTAGACAGCACAAACACAAAAATGTCAGCATAAGCCTAGAACGAGCGGGAGCAAATTATCGCCCATGATGTACGTTCTCTTGCAAGCACGATGTCGTAAGCACGATGTCGTGACTTTAGAGCGGCTTCATCCGAAAACGCAAACAGCATATCTAGGCACGAGCACCAACTTTTCTCTCGCACTTGAGTGTGAAACAGAAGTATTATATTTGCTTGACCTACCCATCCAACACGTCTATTGATATTCATAGGTCGATGTCACGGCGGGCGAAGAGAGGGATAGGGATAGGGATAGGGAGAGGGAGAGGGGGAAGACGAATTGCGAGAGGATCAAAGAGCCTGCAGAATCCTTCTCGCGACAAAAAAAACAGCGCATGGGCTCCAACAGTATACAAACAAGCGCACGTGTCCAGCAGCCTCTCTCCCACACTTGCTGCAGACACGTTCAACACATGCCCTTCGACTAACGCTGTGGCACTACTATCTATCTCCAACGAGTAGTCTATCAGTGATTAGATAACTATCTTCCAAGTACAAAACTGATGGCAAGCACTGCAAAAAGGCAGGCGGAAAAAAAAAACTTGTGTGACCCCGCCCGGCTGGTGCGTCCAACAAAAAACAAAACAAAAAACAAATGTTCAAGTGAACAGTGTAAGGTGTAAGGACCAACGTCCAGAATAGACGGAAAAACACGATGGCACGCACCCACACAGACACACTGGCAAGCGGTCTCCGTTTGTAGCGGCGCTGAGACTTGCAATGATGTTTTTACTGGTCAGACGGCTAGCCTTGCTGTCCAACCTGAATCAGAAATAAAAAAAATCACTCACTCACTCACATCATATCAACCAAATCCAACACTTCAATTAAATGTATGGAGACAGAATACAAAAAGAAATAATATTGCCCATCGAGACCCCTTCCGCACAAAAAAAAGCACAGCACGAAAAAATGGCGACAGCAGCCCGGTGGAAAGAACATCGCGCCGGCCATACGCACCGACAAGAAGGGCTGCACACTTCATAACCCTTCACCGCAGGCACTACGGCTGCTGCTGCTGCAGCTATTCTCCAGACAGCAGGTGCGTTTTCATTTCGACCCACAACTAGCGGCGGACGCATCTTGCGTAAGGTGTGTTCAAATATACTTCGACCGACAAGAAACAAGAAATAAAAAAAACAGCCGGTCGGGGCACCTTGCGCAAGTTGCGCTGTCAGTTGTCAACCTACAACCAACGGCCGACGCACCTGTAGCATTACGTAACGGGCGCTCGGACGGCCGGTCGGGCCGACTGTGGACAGGCACATCGCTCCCGGCTCGCTGGCGCGGGCGATCCGTGCCTCCTCAAACCAGACAGCGAACAGTGTAAACGGGTCCTGCAAAATTTGAAGGGAAACGATCGGCAACCGGGGGAAAAGAGGGAAAAAATCAACATTAGGGCACGGAAAGGGAAGCAACACGAGACAAAACCCAAGACGTTGGGACAGACAGCGAACAGCGTAACACAAAGGGCAACGAACGGCACCCGTAGCGAAAAGCAACAAACGAAATTCAGTGCATAGGCTTAAATAGACCCTGAACAAACCCATTTTTTCTTCCGGTTGTTTTCCAACTTACTGCAAAGACTCAAGCACATCCCCTTCCACGCTGTGGTTATAGCTCGAAAGGGAAATCTTTTCGATTGTATATTATCAAAAAAAAATCAACACCAGCAATAGGCAACAAAAAATAGGGCACGGAAAGCACCGCAACACAAGGGACAAACCCAAGACATTTGGCACGGAAAGTAGAGCAACGCACGACAACAACCAAGACATCATTGGACTGAAAAAATTCTATGATATGTAGCTGGATCCAAAAGAAAACCTTCGTTGATCGCTTTTTACACTTTCTCTACTCCTTCAAACCAGTTGACGTTGATGAGATGTACCGCAAGATCATATTTTTACATGCTGTCGAAACGAAAAGCGTTCGGGTTTCTACGCGATAACCCCAAAAGCATAACAACGTCACGCGCTGATTCCACTTGCCTACAGATGTCCATTTCGCAGAACAGTCTACAAAAAAATACTGCACCCGCTCCACGTTCACCTTGGGGATGTTGGATCCTTCCAATGCCTGCGCGCTATACGCCTTGCGGAACTCCATTACCGCCTTCAGCTGCCGCTCGTCCGTGTTGCTTTTTTTATTATATTAATAATTGTTCAGCAAGAGCAAGCGTACGCGGGACACACGCCCGACAAGGACAGGGGATAGCGACAGCAGCAACAGCAGCAGTGACACGGTAAGTAATAAGAGGAAGGACGACACAGCACGACAGGGAGCAAAACATAGCCCTCTCTTTCCGACCAAGCAACAAAACGGTGGCACAAAAAAAAGGTGCCACGTCGTTGGTTGCCTCTTCATGAGCCAGCGGTGTAACGGCTTTCTCTGATCTTCTTGCCGTCACGCGTCATGACCTTGATGGTGCACCACCCCGCCACACAGGATCCAACAGGTCGCCACGCCAGTCTTCAGGATCGCAGTGCTGCTGCAGCGGCTCAACTGACCGTTGTGCCATGCGCTGTGTTGTGGAGAAAATCACACCACGCCAACCTCTCACCGTGACAAGGTATAATATTTAGTACAGTAGTCTAAGATGGGAGATGTAAGGGTTGTGAAGTTGTGAAGAGAGGGCGGCTGAACCGCGGTACTTCACGCATGGTTTCAGCGTGTAGCGCTGGCTCTCTACCCCGCAGGATGTATTCATTGCTAATTTTATCAGAATTCTGACGCGTCAGATGATGTACTGGCGGAGATCTGAGTTTGTTTCACAGATTCGAGCCAGCACGACACGCTGAACCCGCGCACATGTACAGCGGTTCAGCCTCCCTCTCTCTTGCATACACGACCCATCCCACGGTAGATTGTATCGTACACCGGTCTACGTCAAGAGAGATGGAGCTTCGGTGTGTCCTCCCTTTCCAACGAGAGCACGAGCTTTGGCGGTGGTGTGCCCTTCACGCCACACTTGCATGTACATTCGTGTCAGATAAACTAGCGGTCATCTACGGATTGTTTTGTTCTTTCACAGAATAGAGCCAGCGCGACACGCTGAACCAGCGAACACAGCGGGCCACGCTGAACCAGCGAACACAGCGAGCCAAGCTGCCCTCTGTCTCTGTAAGAACTCACAACCCATATCGTATACTACGCCGTTCTCTCGTTCTCTCGTTCTCACTAGAGGGTGAACTTTGGTGTGTCCTCCATGAATTGGCGAAGATCCGAGGTGTGTGTTGCTACTTGACAGAATAGAGTCAGCGCGACACGCTGAACCAGCGCACATGCAAATGCAGCGGTTCAGCTGCACGCGCTCTCTCAAAAACCGATGGAATGCTCTACCTTTCTCACGAGTGGTTGAGCTTTGGTGTGTCCTTGACATCACACCACATGAGCCGGAGCGCAACCTTGAGACAACCGTTTCCTATGCATACAGCACGTATCTAGGTGTACAACAGTCCACAACCTGTCCTGAGATTTCGCGTTTGTACAAGGGGAAAAAAAAAAGGTCCACACATCGGGGCACTGCTGTACATGGATGCCGAGAGCGACCAGAACAGATGCACACAACTGACATGTTATTACGTAGGACAACCAACAAAGCAAGGGGAAAACAAGGTGTGAGAACATCACGCATTCATGGGCGTTACAATTTTAATAGTTTTTCTTGCGGCGGCCCGGTAGGGGTGCATTTTGCAAGAAAAAACTGATTTAGAGGGATCGTGATGTGCATATGTATGTGCGAAAAAACAGAACAACTTCACTGCGGGGGGTGGAGGACTTACACGATAGACGTCTGTCTGTCGGTGACGGGCGACTTGGCTCGATAAATACGCAGCAGACTGGAGCCCATTTCACCATCTAGGCACCAAATTGCGTGACAACCGATTTCGACCCTCCTACATATATCGGAGCCCCCTCTTGTAAGGTACCCTCTATTAACGGAGCCATGACTGTATCTAACAACAACGCACGAGCCTCCTGCAGGTACTTTTTTTTCTCTAAAATACACAAAAACTATAATGCCTCCCTCTCTTGTATACTCCCTCGTTCCGGATACAAGGTCGATAAGATCATGTGTACTTTCCAAAAAGGTCGGTAAGGACATTCGCGGATACCTCGCGACGACATGATAACCAGTAGGTCATGAGTTCGATCCCCACTCAAAACAACCTTTTTCCCCCCAAAAGACATTACTTTTTCAAGAACAAGTAGTTTTTCTGTGAGGTTATATCTCGAACGGGTAGTCTTTCTGTCAGGTTATGTTTACTTTCTAAAATATCTTCCTTTTGTTTTTGCTCCTCCAAAGAAATATAATTTTGGCGATCCTGACGTTCTGGTCAATACCAAAGCAAGCAATAATGACACATAATGAGTTGGTGTACACGTAGCTCACATATCCAAAAATGGGAACAAAAAAAATACAAAAAAAAGGTCTCACGGCGGCCCCTTTTTCGGTACGGACCATTTCCTCTGCTGATCAGTATCGGAAATAGTTTTCTCATGGGGGTGTGATATCTTCTGTTACCTAACGTATTCTGGGCGCTATGATACATATTACTACGAAGCAGTCTACAATTTTCGGTATGCATACAAGAAAATGTTCGAAATGTTTGACGTACCAGTCGGAGCCCCCCCCTCCCTCTTTCCTTCTGTGGTAAGGTAGCCCCAAAGGTGCACCAACAAGCGACAATACTAGCACATCAAATGCATATGCATACAACACGCAATCCGAAAGCTGTCGACGAGACCGTTCCACCAGGTTTCTCTCGGGACTGACACATTTTGCTCTTTTACTCCTGGGTACAAGTAGTTCGGGTTGTGGCCAAGGAAGGGAGTTGGACTATTATAGGTAACACGGATACTGACATGAGACCGAAACGGTTGTTAATGTCGACAAAAAACAATAACCATCCAGGGCATGTGGTAGGTATGCTATCTTCCGCGAATTGTACGCACACACCTCAGCCTTCCCGACGTCGCCAGCGTAAGCTCCGGGGAGCGAAGCATGTTGCTGCGGAGACGTTGTGAGCCCCCTGCCCCCGACGCCGGCGGCTTGGCTTTCGGGGTGGGGATTATCCCCGCCGCGGCTTGCTTGGGTACTATCTTCTGGGCAATTGTGTCGCCGGGCAGGACGATGCCGTTGACCGGCGAAAAGTTGCCGAACGGTGACCCGAACATGCCCATCGGGGGGCACGGCTTAGTCCCTGGGGGAGGCCTGCTTTCCTCGTATCAACGAGCGAGAGAGAGGGGGTGGGCGAAAGGCGGCAAATAAGCTTTCCGATTCGTTTTGTTTGGATAAGTGCGGGGAGATTGCGGGTACAACAGCAGCTCTTAAGGCTCAGACAAGCTTGGCAAACGCCGCGTCAAACCCTCAACAACTCCAACACTAACATTCCATTGGCACTCACGGTGGAACCATTTGCTGCGAGTGTGCCCCATGCGTGAACGTCGATGGCGACGACCCCTCGGCGGAGGACATGGCAGTCCCGGCACCCGGCCTTGGGTCGACGCGAGACTTCTTGTTGGAGCTGCTGTTGCTGCTGCTGCTGCTGCTGCTGCTGCTGTGACTCTTGAGCCATTCGACAACCTGACAACGACAACGATAACGAAAACACCACGATCATCACGTTTTCAGCCAGCACACCGCACAGCGGACAAACAAACAACACATCCATGATCGAGATGAAGGGAAGAGAAACTGCGTTCGAGACAAGACGCGATTTGAGCATTGAGGGAGGGCAACACGAAGCAAACTGAGTCTCTACAAGTAGTCACACCCCCCCGGGCCGCGGGATAATGCCGGAATATCCCATCCAATTATCACCGGCATAATAGCGGGCAGTCGGCACTGCCGTTCATTCAGAGCATGAAAAAATCCCACACCCTCTCATCGAAACCCCGCGTGGAATAACCGGCTCGATAGAACAAAATCGCGCCTCAAATTTATTGATAAATAATTTACTGCAACGGTGCCATCATCGACACACCTCCATAGCACCAGAGGGTGACAAACCGCACTCACGTTACAGGTATGATGCACCCACCAAACGGAACACGACATGTCTCTATGCGTACCCCTCAATCACCAACATACGACCGCCCCCCCTCTACCCCTCTCCCAGCCCGATAGACACCTCAACACCTCCAACAAGAAGAGCAAAATCTCTCAGTGATTGTGCACGTTTCCTACACATTTTCTTCAGAAAAAAAAAAATAAACCACTTTTGCCGCACTCGTTGATTGAAGTCCACTACAGAGACAACACCCAGTTGGTGACTTCAATACACTAACTAACTGAGATACACTATAGTATATCAATCCCACTACAACGAAAGCCCCAAATAGGTGACTTTGACCACAATCAAAACCTAAAACACAAAAATACCTCTTTGTGTCCTCCTTTTTGAGCCTCGTCGATGGCCTTAGAGATGTCGCCGGGCACGCTGTTGCTATAGAACCACTGGACTGTCGCTAGGTGCCCCCGCCCGGCTGCCAAAGCCAGGGCCGCATCGCTGCACCCCTCGGTGCGTGTGTCGTGTAGCCACTGTAGTTGTTGTTTGTTGCCGCAAACACGTGCAGATAGAAAGTAAGGGTTCGTCAGAGGAGCCAGAGTCAACTACTCATTTCTTGTGCTACAAGGTATGGTTGATTTGTCCACGGCGGACGCTGGGGAGGTGGGACGTCTAGAAAAAAAGCGGTCACGCTTTCACGCTCACTAGATGAACACGCGCGGAGTTGAAACAGGCGGCTAACGTCTGACACACTTAAAAAAAGCAAAACGAGGCAAGAGGAGGGGTCACAAGCAATGACACATGTGTGTGTTGGTTGTTGGCACGCATATTCTATCCTTCATTTCCAATCAGAAGTGCGTCGAGGCACGATTCAAAAATAGTAATAGAAGGAGTCCTCGTGCTACAAGCGCGTGCCGAACATAGTAGAGTCAACTGCGGTCGCGGAAAGGAGGGAATACGTCTCACAGGCTTTCGTACCAGATATGTACTGCCGTCATATGTACAGTAGACGCAACGAGTTTTGCATCATGCCTGCCATTTCGACCTGTCACTGGTGTACGATTCACAAACATGCCCGTAACCCAGAGACCCGTTCTCCACACCCAAAATAGGTCATTCACTGCTGCTGTGTAAATACATAAAGGCAGGTCGCTACAGACTTGCATGCCAAGACAAAAAAAAATCCAAAAACGCAACAACAAAACATAATATGGCCCGTACTCTTTCTAATGACTTGAAGAGAAAAACGGGAGAGGGAAGAGAGGCCCCATCGACAAATCAACTACAATATCCCACCTGAACAATGTCCAAATGTCCTCCCCGGGCTGCCAAATCCATCGCATCGGTCGTACACGCTCCACCTTGCTCGTGTAGCCAGACCACCATATCCAGGTGTCCTGCGGCCGCGGCGCCGTCCATCGCTTTAGCCGTAAACTTGAGGCCCTGATCCATGATTCACGACAAGAAACAACACAAATTAGCACACCAGCTGGCATCGTTGGTGACACTTCAGTGTAAAGGCTTAAAATGGACTCAACGTGAGCCCAGCATCCAGCAAGATTCTTCTCCCAATCACAGCAAAGAGAACACGAAAGGGTGGATATAGTCTTAGTCTTGTGAGGGTACATTTTGTAGATAAGATGAGAACAATGGTAGACCTCCGTTCCTTGTTCCTTGATGACACTCTTTTGACACGAAGAATCGTGATGGAAACCGTTCCGACCCCTTTCCAAGGTATCCTAATGCATAGATCAATTGAGACGAAACAAGCTGGGAGTTTACAACAAAAATGAGCTTGCTTGTAGAAAGTATACTAACATCACAAATAGCTGTCCCATCGAGATCATGCTCAGATGTGCTTATGGATGCTTCAAAGTGTTTACTTTACAGAGTCAGGGCGGGTTGACGCCTGTTATCCACCGGGCTCAAGGTTGAGAGTCAGGCTTCACGTATGAGCAAGTTGGTTCACTTCTCACGAAAAAGTATTGAATGATGGGCAACCGAACACAGCTACCATGGAGTGTATCTACAGTACCACTACCCTTAACAAAAACTCGCCGTAGTTTGAGGGTTGTCAACCGTTTTCCTCATTCAGGGCTGCAACGAAAAGTCAGTGTTTCATCACTTGAATCACGCTATATTCTCTCTTGGTGGAAAACCCAACACCCTGCTGCTGGAAACGGAGACACGTTGATGACAGACGCTGAGAACAATATTGAGGTTTTGGATTGCACTGCTGCCGCTTATGTGCTGAGAGACTGAGAGACGTTCGACGCGTAGGGATTTCGGGCGTTCCGATGCACTGCTGTGTATTGACAGATGACGCCTCAGGTTTCTTGCAGTTTACCTAGGCTCTCAAATGCACAGCCGAACATCACTTGCCTCATTTCTTGAGGGCACCAAACGCTACGCACCGTAACCACCGAAACGTTACTCTTATCCCCCCGCGGGAAACATCAACCCACAGTTACTAAATCATTCTTTAGAAACAGGATTGATTGCGGATGGAAGCACGGGCACCGCCTCGATACTCTTTCCAAGTCTGCGGGGTGCCTCCCACACGCCTCAATCAAAGCTCCAGAGAGGAGGCGGGCGGGTGCTCCAGAATGTCCGCCAGAAAGAAAATAGCTCCCAAGCCTCTCGATCTTGGCTTCTCACCAACATACCAATATAACAATATACTACTGCTGCAACCGATAGCGCAGGCCAAACCTTCGGTTTTCCTCCACCCCGTCCGCGACACTGCTGCGCAGGGGGAGTGATCACGTACGATGACCAGCCAGCTGCTGCTGCTGCTGCTGCTGGGAGAGGAGCAACCTCTCAGAGAGGGCGGGGAGAAACTTACCAAAGGCTGACGTTAGCTCGCGCTTTTGCGGGCTGTTTTGAACCGGCACACTCGGCGAGTTTTTCGCCGACAAACCGTTTTCAGATTTCAGACACCACTTAGAGAAGCGTTTTCGGAGCGCATCTCAGGAGGTCTTTCTGCGGAAATGCTCTCCCCAGAAGAGAAAAATTAAAATTTCCTGTGTCGACCAACAAAAACACCCGCTATTTTATTAGAGACTTCCCCGTTTACACTCAACACGATAGCAGCACTTCGTCCTGCCGGCTAGCAAAGACATGCTAATGTATAAACACATTGAGCGCACAAAAGAAGCTGTTGCTCATTTCCGTCGTGTCACCACCAGAAGATGACCGTTTTTCACAACTGCTGTTTCCTCTTCTCCTGTGTTGCCAAAACAAAACCAAGATGTTTTTATCTCTCCGTGAAAATGGGAACTTCAACTTTTCGCAGATACCACCGCCGTGTTTAGGAAGAAGACTTTTTTCCACTCACCGCCCCAGCGAAACGCAGTACACCGATTCCGGCGATCAAACTTGGTTGCCACAGTGTATAGTAGAGCTTCGATTGGGAACAAGCCTTGCGGCTAACGGACACACCACCCATTACAGCAGCCGTTAGTACACAAAAGACGTCCAGGGTTTACAGTACTTCGTGATGGGCTGGGGCATCACAGCGTGGGATGGCGTAAAATTTGGGGGGTGTTCGTCTAGCGCGATTCGCTGTTGCATAGCGTAACGACCAGAGGCCCCTGATTGGTGGAGGTAGTCTGCCACTATAACCGGTTGGTTGTGAATGTTGTTTACCACCCCTGGCGAACGATTAGGGTGGCAAGCGCCTGCGTTATTATAAAAGGGTAGTCTTTCTGTGTGTGTATTAATTTTCCCTAATAGAGAGAAAACTACTCTACAAATACATATATGGCCTCTTTTGACTGGGTCCGTCCTTGCGTGCACGAACACAGACACCGGGCCACAAAAGCTGTTCAGCACCCACCCTTACACTAGCACTCGCACAGCAGCAGCTGCGGGAACGGCTTGCGGGCTTGTCGCCATTGGTTTGCCCATGACCGCCCCGCTCTCTGCCTATATCGCTAACCCTTGAGAGCGGGCGGGTGTCTCTTACTCAAGGCACACATCAATGTGCACCTGCCGCGGGGAACACATGAATCCGCGCTGCTCTAACGCAACGCAACTAAATACCTCACGCCCAGCAGAAGCAGGGGAATCAACCTCAAAATACACATCTCACGCCAACTGAAAAGCCGCGAACGATACTACATGCTGTGGTTGTTTTTGTCGCGAACAACGAGAACGTTTGGTAAGATCGGCAATCCATCGGTCACGTCCATCCGAGTAGAAAGAACAGAGGCGAAAAATATGCAGCCGGAGGTCTACTACAACAAGTTACAAGAGCACGTGAACGTTGGTCTTTCACCACAAGCGGACACGGGCGCACTGCCTGACAATGCTTCGCGGCGTCCACGACAAGAAACATTTTCCAACTTGACCCCTCCCGCCGCGGGATTGAGACAGGGTCGACTAGTGAAGCTGAATCGCAGCACCACATCTCACCACCCAAATCTGTACTTCAATATATTTTCCTGAACGCTCCAAGAATCTGCAGCAGAGACGAATCTTGTAGAACCTTCACAATCAGCGGTGGGGAGAAACCACGTGGCTTGGTTTCTCGTTTCGCCGCCAGAAGCATGTATACACCACCCACGCAGCAACCACATCGAGCCGTGTTCGTCCTTCACATCTCTTGTGCCGTTACTGCACATCGTCACGTGTGACCAAACATATCTTCACAAGACATTCAGAAAAAAGGCTCTCGTGTTCCCTGCTGCAACATACAAAGCACCAGTTGTGTGCTCGATGCATATCTTCGGGAAAATGTAATGCCAGCGGAGATTCGATACTCGCCCCTTGGTACTTGGCAGTAGGTAAAAAAACACAACGCGGTCATGCAGCTTGATATAGTTCTTCCGCTGTACGTGGACTATTATATGCTGTTCTGCGGGAGGCCGGCGGGGGGGCGAGGTTTCACGCTTTCACAGCCCTTGCATCTTGGGCAACTTCCTAAAAAAAGCCCAGGGGCGTGGACATCAACTACTACTACCGCTGTTATTTGTAAGGTGTGGATAACCCAACCCACAATACGGCGCAGCAACAACCATTCGAACACACGTTAACCAGATAAAGGCGGAGAATTGTCGCCTTTGTGCCGGCGACACAGACAACCCCCTTGCTGGCTTACGGTCCACTAGATGTGAAGAAACAAGGCGCGATCAAGGGGGGTCAAAACGTCTGCCGAGCTTTTCTACTCGCGTGCAGGTCCGAGCGACTGCTGCAGTACTTCGGTGTGGTATACAACAAGGCTTGACACCCACGTCACGTGAAAGGAGGCCGTGTACCATACCATGCATCATGTGCTGAAGCGAACGAGACAAACACATCATCGTGGCAACAAGGGCCCAAAGGCTGGTGCATGCCTAACACATGTGTATGCACACCCAAAGAGATGCAGGCTGGCACCAGAATAGATGCCAACACAAAGTCGCCCTGACCGACGTCTTCTCATTGGCCAGCAGCCTCTCGGCTGGCGCGGTCGACGCTACATACAACAGCAGCAATGAAGACATACACAGGCACATGGCAGCCTTTCCTCTGCGTTGGAACCCTTCGCTCGACGTTTTTCGGGTGGTCCGTGGCAAAAAAATGACAACAAGACGCCCTGCCTGCTGCTGGCACTGGCACGCCAACGGAGGGAATATTGAGTCGTGGAAATGGATGGCAAACTAAATGCGGGAGCAGTGCAAGTCATCGCGCGCCCCCTACACACCGCGACGTTAGACTCCGATCGCTCCAGAACGAAAAAAACAGCTGAAAAAAAACTCTCCAACAAACTGGTTTGGACAATAACTTGCCGACAGCTTGTCCGCACGCGTATCGGCGGGGTCCTAGCATTCTCTTCTCTTGGATGTGGAGCTTTGGAAAACAGTCTATAGTCTATAGTCTAAAGGGAACGTGGGATCACTCTCACTATTATAATAGATACGGTAACACCTCCCTCTTCTTCATGCATACGCTTTCCACCCGTCATAGATGAGTGACATGAGTGACATGGGAGCGAGCGAAAATAAGAGCAGTCAAGAAACCTGCGTCAACAACAACAAAAATAGATCGCCACGAGCACACGCACCTGACACAGCACGTTCAGGTGGGGCGTGTGCGCGCACTCAACGCGCAACAAAAACGGTCTCTTTAGGTACGCTTACCGAGGGCAAGGCGTGAAATCTCACATCACAGCCATTTGCCCGCGTGCTATGCATGTTACCGGCGTTATCCGCCGTGTTGCTTCTACATGTGTGGCATGGGTTTTGGACAGTAAGTTCCTCATGCAGCACTCTGAGCGAGACATCAAGCTCATGGTTCAGCGCTGACGCCCGCGGCTCAAAGAACAACAACACGTGCTTGCATTCTGCGACGCCTGCTGAGAATGAGGAGCACAAGCCTTGCCGTTTGGCGCCGTACCAGTCCCCTGCGTGTATAGCCATCGGGAGTTTGTGCCTACCTCTACGTATACATACGCATAGCTGGAAAAGCCCGGCAACAACCTGTTGAAAATTATAAAATTTGAATCTGCATGGCGAGGATAAACGTGATGGTCAAGAAATCCGAGCTGGGTCTGGTTAGGTAGTGACCGACAACCACCCCAAGTCAGGGCGGGACAGGTGGAGCTGCGAGCGACGATACTTGCGCGCGAGGTTCGACGCCTGAGTAACAAAAACATTCCACATGTGGCCGCCACCACTAGACGGCTCGTCGGCAATCTACCTACCGAAGTTTGAACTCCCCTTGACACACAGCTCTAGCATCTGCATACATACAGCCATACAGCCATACAGCCATGAAGACGATAGAGCCAGTACGCGCTGAACCTGTACTGTATGAGCGCTGAACCTGCTGCATTTGGCATGTCAAATCATCTTTCGTGCAGCAGGCCAGGCAGGTGCCACTCTTGCATATAAACCCGCCTTACACTAAAACATAAAAACGAAAAGGAAAGGATCACTGAGCCATTGAGCCTGCGGTTGTTAGGAAAAATAAATAAAAACACAGAAAAGATTGTTGAGCAAAGCTCTGTTGAGACCGTATGATGATGACATTACCGTCAGGATATGTCGTCAACGACAGGCATGCAAGCAAACAAAAACAAAACACGCGGTGCCAAAGCAATGCATGAAAGTGTCAGCAGTTCTTGAAATATCAAAACAGCTTGACTTCACCGCCACGTGCCCGTCTTAGAAAGCACCGAGAGCACTTACCAGCAGGCACAACGTAAGGTTTCGATACAACTCTTGGCATGAACCGACATGTCTCCCAACAAATTAAATTTTCAGCTGTTCGGGCAAAAAAAATATCATATCATATTATTGCTCCGCCCTCCCCAATTCAAACCACACCCAGAGTTTGCACCCCCTTCAGCGTGCGAAAATAATCCTTTGTACAGAACCCAAGGAGGCCTCTCTCAGGGTGTTTGTCAGTGGGTGGTTATACAAAAAGTTGCTAGGGAGGTGTGGTGGGACTAGGCTTGGCGGAGGGCAACTCTCAGCTCTCCAACGCGGGGCATTTTGAAGTTGCCGCCGGCGGCGCCGCTGCCGCTCCGATATTCAAAAAGCCGACACACCTTCGAAGACGAGACTCATGAGATGCAGTAGATACATACATGTGTCTAGCCGCTAGCTTTAAAACCAGAGATATGTATTTAGTCGCACGCAGCGGTGTCTCCTCCATCAGGATTGAAAGCGAACAGACGCCAAATAAAATGACTTCTGCAACAATTGTACAGATCATACAAAGGGTACTCTGAAAAAAAACTACGCAACACGCTGTCCCACCAAGCAGGAGCAAAATATCGAGCTGAACGATTGCTATGCATATGTAAGAAACTAGTGCTACGGCTACCACACCAGCAGTACAACGCACGTATGCTGCGGTCTGAGGGGTTTCCTGCGGAATTCGCATTGATTTCTTCAATTGAACTTACAGCAGTACAACGCGTGGTGCTGCTGGTCTTGTGTCTCATCTGGTAAAACTCAAGACACGAATATCCCCGTTTTTTTCGGTTTTTTTCCCGCTTTTCCAACCCACGCACGTGAGAGAAAGAGATTCTCACAACAAAGATTTAGCAGATTCGGTCAAGAGGCGGGTAGAATGCATGCTATCATATGCATACTTTGCTGCTGTCAAGAACAAAGCTCTCTCCCATGGCTCCCTCGCGTTGATCACATGTGAGCGCCTCTTCGAAAAACGAACAACATGCCGAGGGCATGAGAAGTAGATGCGAAGCTTGTTGGGAAATATGCCGCATGTCCGCCAAAGAAGCAAACACCCGTGGTGAAACGCCCAAGAGGTTTGATTTCGTGTGGCCAAATGCCACAGAGGACACACAAATCTGGAGAACGCGGCGTGTTGTTTGCCACACCGGCGACGCCATGACTCAGCAGCGGCGGAGGGAAAAGGCCGCACGCCGCACGCCTAGCAGCAACTTTCAGCAAGGACCAAAAACAGACGAACTTCAAACACAGCTGACCTCGAACAGCAGTTTTCTAAAATCTTCCGTCTATTGTAGTTTTCTAAAATCTTCCGTCTATTGTAGAAAACACACTCGGGCTATTTGTACAAGGGCAGCTATCTACAGCAGTAGCTGTCCGTAAACTCCATCTCGGGACAAGCTGGAACAAGCCCCCGAAAAATATTGTAAATTTTGGAAACATGAGCCTCCTCATCGTCGAATCGACGGTTGATTTGTTTCGATCTTGTGCGCGGGAATGCGGAAATCGAACTCGCTACATTCTTAAAAATTTGGTTCCCAACCACTGCCATAATCGATTGACAATTAGGAAGATCATGAAAAATTATCCGATCGAGTTGGGGTGCTCATGCATACCCAGGGGTCGCTCCATGGACAGGCGCGCTCCGGCGCGAGAGAAAAACAAGATGCCACAGGACTGTCATGGATGGGGGCACAGGGCATCATGATATATTGTACAACTGACTGGATTCGTTGGAAAGTTCCGACTTTGGACTTCACCGACGACGACGATCCCGTGGGTTGTTCGGTCGCCCAGCCTCGGGAAAAAACGCGAAACAACCAACGCAAAACCACCACTATCACACGTCACACCTCATTTCGCTTGCAGAAATCCAAATCGCCGCGCAGCGCCGCCAGATCTCCGTCCTCGCTCGCCCCATTGTCCTGTTGCTCCTCTTCCCCCTCTCCCCCTCCTCCCTTAGCCCCGTCTTCTGGTGCTTTGGCTTCTGGTGCGGTAACCTCCATGTCCCCGCCGCCCTTCGCAGCCGTCTCAGAAGCTGAACTCATCGCCGTGTCCTCTGCGCGCCGTTTGCTGCCGCGGGGCGAGGCGCCGCCGCAGTTGTTGTTGCCGCCGCCGCCACCGCTTCCTCCACAAGTACTGTCCATTTCACTACTACCGGCCCGTTCACTTGCGGTGACCTGCAACAGCGGGAGGAGCGGGGGGGGGGGAGCCTATGTCGTTTTTATCGGACAACATGGCTTGCAGTTGCACGCTGTATAGGTGGTCGCTGAAAAAAGGGAGGGGAGGGGGTCGCTACAAGTACATGCTTTGATGTTCTCTCTCTCACAAGGAGAGGCTTTTTCGCTTTTTACTCGCACTCACCAGTAGACCGAGCCCACTCATGCCTCGAGGACACCACTAGGATGCTCCCGACACCTCTCGTGCCCTCCCTCTCTCTGTCTCTCGACGGGAGCAGTCGTTGGCGGGATTGGTCGAAAGCTTTAAGTTGTTCAGCAGGTTGTTGCAGGCTGCACGTCGCCTAGTCTGCACGCAGCTGGCTCCCCACGTGCGTTTCGCCAAAACAAACAGCCCGGGGTGGCCGCTCCAAACCTTCCGTCCTTCTAGCACAACGTCCTATGCCTTAGCACTCCAGCACTGCCAGCTCAACCCTTTCCGCTGTGCACCTCCGTCGCTAGCGTGTCGATACCACTGTACTTGTTTGATGATGTAGATGGATGCCAGACGCCGCCAGACACCGCCAACGTGTCCCGCGGGGGGTGGGTCGTAGTACAGAATGCGAGCCCCCCCCGTCCCGCCCTTGCCTGCGCCAGGCCACCCTTCTGCCTGCCTGCCTGTCTCAAGCGGAGGTTCATCCAAGGATAGGGTAACAACTTGAGGACACGCGTGAACGTGTGGGCTTGTTTTTCCGCACTGTCGAAGCCCGATCGTGCCCTCGACGGTTGTGTTTGATACCGTCTCCGCTGCACCTGCTGCAGTCAGCTCCCCGAAGCAGAGCTGCTGCTGCTGCGACTGCTATATACCAACACTGCACCTCTGTGTTTGAAAGTCAGTTTACATCTACAGCAGGAAGGAATCCGGCCAAGGGGCAGAGATAATGATGGGCAAGCAGGGGCGGGGAAGCTTCTCCTCGGGCAAGGCGGCGGGGAGCTCGACGGGGGTGAAGAAGAAGAAGATGGTCATCAAGCCGTTCAAGGTGCGCGTGAGAATTATCTCTTTACCTCGATCTCTCAGAGATGGACACTAAACTTTACAAGAGAGGCAAACGGTGTGTAGGTACGCCGCTGTCGTTCCTCTGCCATGTGCGTCTTTAACCTCCGCTGAAGTGGGGGGGCGGGCCAATGTTCATCAACTCAACACCTTCAAACCCCGCGTGGAATTCAGACCTATTCCTGCAACAACCAAGACATGAATCAGAGACATGTGGTATTCGTTTCAAGTCAAGTGGGTCTGTCTCTTCACCAAGTACAGTACAGCGGTAGAATCAGCGTACAGCGTACAGCAGTACAGCAGTGCGGTGGGATCAATCAAGCCCTTCAGATCTTCAGATACAATGTTTCTTGCGGCCAATAGTTCGCGATTAGGAGAGCATGGCGTGCTCTATGATGTGCTGTTTGGATGCAGCAGCACCAGCAGCAACAGCGGTATTAGATCCGCCGATGGTCTCGACCAAGCCCATGCAGAGCCGAAAGACGGTCACCTGCTTCACTGTTGTCGAGATTGCCGATTAACCCCCCCTTCGTGTACAAGACTCTACTCAACAGCAGTAAATAAGATACCGCCTGGGCAGACGTACCCCGAAATCGTTCAACATGCCAGAAATATTGCCATGGTGATAAGACTGAATGCAAGCAATAGTCTCCTCTGATCGAGTTTCCGCAGTAGCTTATTTGGCACAAGTCTCCGTCATGCGCAAATGCGGGCCGTTCTCCCCAGACCTTCTACAAGTACATGCGGACGGTTTGGAGCTACACTTTGCAGATGCGCTACAAGTAGAATGTGTTAGCATAGGGACCGTTGGAACCGCCCAATTACCGCCGCTTTTCGTGTTGTGCCCGAGGATATTCATGCAGACACACATACGCCATTAGAGACCCTGTTCGAAGCTCAGCGGCAGGCCTACTGGGACAGGGGATCTGCCGTTGGAGGCACGTGTTGATTTCACAGCGCCCCACCCCCCCGAACAATAGCCAAATAGCCTAACTATCGGGAGAGCTCGAATTGAATGCCATTTGAGAGGGGGGCTCGCTCACACATGTGAGGACATGGGAGAGGTGTGTATTGCAGTGGTTGGGTAGGGGAGAACGATTGCGACAAAGGCTTGCTTGCCCACGCAGCACAGGAGGGTGGTGTTCATGTTCTTGTGGAACTGCTGTGAAGTACCGCTGTACATGTTTATGAACAAGTACACAGAGAACAACGAGGAGGCCCTCGAGAGGGCGCTGGGGCTAAGAAAGTATATGGGCGGGGTGCGTTAAGCCTGCCGGGATATCGCGGTACTGCTGTGAGAATACCGTCGATCGCTTTCGTACGAGATAAATGGCAGCGAAAACGTCCAGGCATGATATGAGATCAGACACGCAACAATCCCCATACACTGGTACGGGGTGATTGAGATAAATACGACGTGCATGAAATCCCCTTGTGAAGGGGGAATGCTTTCAGATACAGACAGAGCGAAATGTTGCCGTTTATGATAAGGCCACGGATTCTTTGATTACGTGCCGTGCGTATTAGTACGGACTCTTTTTTACCTATTGTGATCAAGATGATTTGCTGTGCAGCGGTGACCCCATCTCGAAAATGTCGACTAACGGCGAAGGGTTGGAAGCGTCGGTTGGATAAGGCTGCCCCCCTGTGACACACGATTTCGGTTATTCAGCGCCTTTCCCGCGACCAATCTCACCAAGAGAGACCGTTCGCCAAACATCGTATCGTAGTACAAGGGGAAACCCGTCTCCCCCTCGCCAATTTGATTGTGGGACACACGAACTAGATAAGGCGGCGTGGGTGACTCTCTGGTATATTGCGACTTTACCGATACCCTTCTGCTCTCCATGAATCAAAATGCTTTCTCAGAGCACGTGCCTAACGGCGCCAAGTAGACATGGTTCTGCCTGCGCCTGCTACGGTTAGTCGAATGTCGGTCTTCAAACACGTGGGCCAAGGCCCAGATATCTTTCGTTACGCGGGTCTCTGCTTCCGCTATCTGCTTCCAAACCCTCATACGACAAACTTTCCATCACCCCCATCCCATCGTCACCAATACCACCACCGTCTGTTTGTTGGCTCTGCTGCTGCTGCTGCTGCTGCTGCTGCTGCTGCTGCTGATGCTGCTTTGTATGCTGCTAGGTCCAACCGAAGCTGCCTGAGCAGTTCGAGGACAGCACTTGGGAGATGCTGCAGAGGGCGGTCGTCGCGATCCAGACAAAGCAGCCCATCGATACGAGCAGGGAGGAGCTTTACAGGGCCGTCGAGGACCTGTGTGTTCACAAGATGGGCGCCAATCTCTACGACAGGCAAACGCAACAATCGAACGTGCAGCTTCTATGCAGTATGCCTACAATACACGCAATATTGTCGCGGCAGCGTAAATGCCCACCTCTGGACGTTCTCCGACTCGATTTGGAAACTTGATGCTATCTCCGAAGATCGGGGCGCGCTCCCACTCGAGTTGGTATTGTCGTACTATCTCCGGAGATCTTTTGTGCTAGCGATCCAAGTTGACACATGATCCATGGCCCCCTCCCACGCACCAGCGAGCGTCTCGCCGCAAAGAGGACGGTGCAGAGCATGGTGTCATGACGTCCGATGCTAGCCTCGTGCATGATGCTGGTGACCTTTCAACACACGAACGTCCTTATGGAGGGTGAAGGCAGCGCCGAATATGCAAATAGGTACACGGGCGCAGGTGCCAGTGAGCTCCCGCTCTCGATGTTCACTGACGCACGGAGTAGAAAAGAGTCGATGCCTTCCTGGCGTAGCCGGCATGTGTTCACCCCTGTTACGGTGACGCTCTACATGCGCGAGGGTCCGCGGTGTGTTTTGGTGCACGACGGGTTTTGGTGTAATGTGTCCATGGACTAGAAATTTTCCGGTAACTTTGGAGCGCGTTGCAAATCTTTGCCGTGAGACCCGTCATCATCAGCGGACAAGGCCTAGTGCGATTTTGGCTGACAACCGGCGTATCGGATTATTTCAGTCGTGCATGTGGTAGATGTGGTAGATTCCGGCGTTTTTTCGTGTCTCCCCGCCAGCGACGGGTCTGAAACCGTTGGTACTTGCCACCCCAACACAGCTTCTGCTGCTGACAGTAGTGACAGCTAGCGCTTATCCTGAGAACAACAACAACAACAGCAATAACAACATCAGGTGGCGTGCCTTTTTCATTTTTTTCATCGTCACATGTATTGCCTTCAACTGCTACAAGTAGAGAAGACCCGATTTTCCCTACCAGCTATCTAATCGATGCCGCCAGTGCCATCGACCTCTGGTGATTCATTCTCGCCGCTAGCAGCTCTTACTTCTCCTCTTGCTGTCGTCGTTGTTTGATGTTGCTTCTTTTGGTGGTGGTGGTGCTGCTGCTGCTGCTGCTGCTGCTGCTGCTGTTGCTGCTTCAGATTGAGAGACGAGTGCGGGTCCCACACACGTCGGGAGATGGAGTCCCTGGTAGGACAGACCCCGGACTGCAACGCCTTCCTGCAGCTGGTGGATCGGAATTGGCAGGACCATTGCTCCTCGATGCTCACCCTGCGGAACGTGTTCCTCTACCTCGACCGCAGCTTCGTGCTTCAGGCGCCCAACCTCCGGAGCATCTGGGACATGGGGCTGGAGCACTTTCGGAACCACTTTCAGGTTCGGTTTTGTTGGAGTGGTTCCGGGAATGGATGTGGTTTTGCATGTTGTAGAGCTGGGAAAATGAAAAGGGAATGGTACCTCTTTGTGGCGACGTACTTTAAAACACTTGAGTCCAAGTTTTGTGGAAACGGTGTAGCAATGGGGATGAGAGCTATAGAATCCCGGTGAAGGCGGAAACCGGTTGGAACTACACAAGAGTGGCAAGGTGGCAACGACAACCAAGGGGACACTTTTGAGATAATCTTACAGCAACCCTTACAAGATTGGAAGAAAAAGAGGAAGAAGATGACACTTTTGGGACAATCTTACAACAATCCTAACAAGATTGGAAGAAGAAGAAGAAGAAGAAGAAGAAATATAGCACCACAACAACAACAGGAGTCCCCCGCTTACACTTTCTATCGTATTGCAGGCACTAGAGGAGGTAGAGGCCAAGACGGTGGCGGGGATCTTGACGCTGATCGAGCGTGAACGAACAGGGGTGGACGTTAACCGTCCCCTGCTCCGCAGCCTCCTTCGCATGCTGTCAGCGCTACAGGTGAGAAGCTTGCCTCAGAAGCTTTTTGTCGCCGGTGCACGTATTGTACTTGTACTCGTTACTTTCATTGCGGAGAGAAGTATTGCAGGATCCGATCTGCATCGATCGTGTGGCGATGCATTCTGAGCTTTCGGTTTACAAAAATGTCATGGATGTTCCATCAAAAGCAAGGTACCATCGTGTTTTAACAGCTTGTCCCAGTCCCGCGTGGATTGTTCGATGGGTGCTCTGTCGTGAGGTGACATTTTCACGTTTGTTGAGGAGTCTTTTCCTCCTCAGGAGCCCTACCTGACATGGGTGACCGTTGTCATGCCGTTGTCATGATCGTGATGTAATGGGACGTTCGTTGATATGATATCTAGGTGTACGAGGAGCTGTTCGAGGGGCGTTTCTTGAGGGAGACGGAGGAGTTCTACGCCGCCGAAGGCGTGCGTTACATGGCCACCGCCGATGTACCGCACTTCCTGCAGCACGTCGAGGAGCGCCTTCAGCAGGTCCGTGACACCTTGCCTTGCCTGAGACAAACAAGAATGACAGAGAAAGGAGGGGTTGGGGATGGGAGGGGCACCGCTGTACAGGGGGGGGGGGGGGGGGTCTGGAAAACATCCTGTAATCCTTTTGCGGAGTCTA